TACTGGGGAATTATCCATGTTTAGTTTTGGTCTCTTTTATTCAGACTGTTCATTCTGCAGATCAACTACCACTACCTGTGTGTGAACTAGTGACGGGACGTTTTTTTTTTTTGTCTTGTTTTTTAAGCTATTTTTTTTGGGTCTTTTTGCCTTCATTTGATAGGAAAGTTGAGAGAGAGACAGGAAAGTGGGATGGGGGAAGGACCTGCAGGAAATGGCCATGATGGGACTCAAACCCATGACCTCTGCGTCGGGAAAATATAGCCCCTGAACTCAACCAGTTGAGCTATCGCAGCGAACCACAACTGGACATTTTAAGACTTTTACCATGAGTGATTTATTTTATCTTCTGTGAAAATAGACTCAGGTTCTAACCCCCTGTTGTAGTATAGCTGGTAGTTTACTGAATGTTGGAAAAATAAATCTAATCAGCCCTTACAGCAATTTATAATCATATATGTGTGTTTATTCTCCGCCTGTACAATACACAAATATGGATGACAAACACATGAATGTGGCTAAATACTGAATGTATTTTATATAAAATGTCCAATCTTTCTAACTGGCAGACCTACTCCATGTCTGATAACAGCAGAGAGCACAAGCAATGCCAGCAGTGAATCTCTGGTTGCAAATCAAAAAGTAAAATCGTGAAAATCAACTTCTCCTCAGCTTTTCTCCATTTTGATGGGGACTCACTGATTCCCTTCAAGGACCACAAAATGATCCCACAACCCCACTCACCCAAACAAAAACCACAGGAACAGGTCCGAGAGGTCAAACAGAGGCCTCTCAGTTTTGTTCTGACCAACATGTCAGGTGGAGAGTAATGAAGAGTGACACCTTCACCTCGTCTTCAGCTGATTACATAAGTCGCTCAGAGTGCGGCTACACTGGTTTGTTCGCTGTGTACTTTGTTGACAACAACATACAGTCATTAGTTGCGTGTCACTCACACATCGTCCACATAACAGGGGTAGGGCATCTGCTGGATGTAGATGCCGGTCGTCTGCTGGACTCCCGTCAGCACGCGGCTCACGGCTCTCTCCACCAGGTCCTGAATGTAGACGAAGCCCCCCCAGATGTAGCGCATGTCACTGAACGGGTCAGCAGCTGGACCAGGATCCCAGAACCTGAAGGAACAACAGCACACTGTTTAAAATGAAAACAATATGTTTGAGAAAAACAGAATCTCTTTGCTACTGAGTGAAAACTTAATTCAAATAGAGACGTTTGATATGACATTAATGGTTTCTCAGAAAGTGTTAAAATCATTAGTTTATATATGTCATCTTATTAAAAATGCCAGCTCTTGACTCTGTGCTGCATAGCCTGTCATTCTGTTACACATTCCCAGGATGTTTTATAACCCCACCCAGAGCCCTTTCACCTTAAAACCATTGTACCAAGAACAAAGAGAGAACCACCGCAAGCTAAAGAATAGGCTTTCTAAGCTAATTCTGTTTATTCAGGTTACAATTCCCAGTAATGAAAGCCTCATGTTTGTTATGAAAGTCTGTTTTTTGTATTACATTGCATTAGAATCCTATGTTTAGCACCTTGAGGACAAAGGAAATGCCACGACAGTGCATAGCTGCAATAATGGGTAAACTGAAGTAATGTTAGCCTAATGGAATTTATTTAGTCTTTTTGTGTTTGATATCACATTTGTGCATAAAAAAAATCATCCATTCATCCACATAATTATCATCATTTTTGCAAATAAATTGCTGTTATGCCATCGCCTGCACTGTAGTTTTGTCATCAACACTATTATATATTTTATAAACAGAGGAACAGATCGTCCTTTTGCCACCAATAAACCGTAATCATGACAAAAGTTCTGTTTTTCACCTCAAAGTAACAAGTCCCACAGGAGAACGTGTATGTACTTAAAGCTAAACTTTCCTCATTGCTTTCATGATTTCTTGAGACTAGATTGAATACGATTTGTTAAATTACCCCAAAATGCCCTAACGCTGTATGTCTCTATGTATAAACGCACTGTCACATAGAATCAAAGCTGTTTCCAATAGAAGGATCTATAACTACTGCAAACGAAGGCTTTCAGAGGGATGTTCGCTTCATCCTCAGCACCTGTCTTTGATCTTATTGGTTCGGGTCACGTCATCAATGTCCATCCGGATCTTGTAGGTGACGTGGGGCGGCAGGTCAGACGAGGAAGAGTTGGGCAGCAGGAAAACCACGCCTGCCCAGTACTGCCTGTCCTCCAGCAGCTCCAGGGCTCTGTCAATCAGCTGACCCTCAGTCTCCAGCCCCTCCAGCTTGTTCAGGGAGAAACACTGCAGGAGAGGGTAGAAAATGTACAACATATAGACAGTACATGATGAGGAAGTCTGCCTGCAATTAAATCAGGAGAACTGTAAGGGTTCAGGAAGACTGATTTTAGCTTAAGATCCCATGATCCACTTCTGTCACCTCTCTACTTTGTAAAACTACAACAGCAGCTGTCACAAAACAAAACAAGACTTGGATTTCATACTATTGAATGCTCGAGGTAAAAAGCACAGATTCACTTAGTCTTGAAAGTATTTGGGATTTTGTCTAGACACAATCCATTCTGTTGCACTTGAAAGTAGAAACTTCTGACTTTCTTATATGTTTTGAGAACAGCATAGAATAAAAAAAAAGTCAAGCATGGCCAACCTCAGTGACTTGTGCAAGAGTGGTGATAGTGTGGCTGAGGTCGTTGTACACGTCCAGCCAGTTAGGCGGAGCTCCAGGCTGCCTCGGAGTGTCTGGTGAGGGGGTGGACAGGAAACGTGCGATCCGTGAGGCCGTCCAGGGCGTGTTTTCCAGACGCAGGTTGACCAGTACTGCAATCTCTGGACGCCTCAACATATCCTATTTCACACACACACACACAGACAGGCACTATGTTGTAAATCAAGACGCCTGAAGGCATCAGATGCATCACACTGCGCTCATCCCTCCTGTCGAGAGAGAGCAGCTGCTGATCCAGACCTGCAGAAGCTGAATCTCCACACTGGTCTCCATGTAGTTCTTGATTCTTGGTCCCACCTCCATCCAGGCTTCGTTGAGCTCCTGGATGATCTGCAGGTCCTCAAAAGTCTTGTTTACCTTCAGCAGACACAATTTAAAGTTAGCTGAAGCAGACGTGTCTTACAACAAGCGCAACAGACTCAACATTTAATTTCAAGCCCGTTAAGATTTAAAACGGCAGGTTTTAAGTACGAGCACACTGTCTCCAGATGAGTGAGCAGAAGAGGACCAGAGAAAATGTTTGCTGCTGAATCACAAACTATCACAAGTGATATTTACTGGTTTCACAAAGACATGATTTCAGTAGCAATGAGGCACGTTTTTAAAACATAAAGTGGCAGCAGATGAACATGTCTTCCACTTTTCCCCGTTTTCATCACAAGCAAATAAATCAGTTATCAGCAAACACCAAGAGGACGTGTTGGTGATGTCAGTCAGGTTTTCGCACGATATATGACTTCCATGTCTGATTACATCTTCGCATACACAACATGTGCTCAAAGAGAGTCTGTGAGCTTCGGCTTGATGTACCTCTTTCATGACTTGCCGTACTGCGGGACTGTCTGGAGTGTAGAGGAGTTTTCCGATAAATAGGGGTTTGATTCCTCGCCACACAATGCGCGACAGAGGGTTGGACTCCAGACCGTGGATCAAACTTTTACAGAACGGAGCTGCCAGGAGCAAAAGACGACCAAACAGGACAAATGTTAATAGAAACAGTGCACTCAGAATGGCATAACCCAGCTGGGATTTAATCTTCAGGGGTGTGGTGCTGGTTTTTGGTGTTGTCATAAATAGTTTTTTTTTGTTTATGGTGAGGTGCAATATCCAAATCATTTGAAAAGGTAGCAAGGAAAAAGCCAAACCCAATCTGAGCAGATTTCCAGATTTGTATACCGGCATAAAAACAATCACACACTAACTCTGGTGTGCACAGCCTCTTACTCGTGTTGTTGTCGCGGTCCAGGTCCAAATCCTCAGTGCCATTTTTGCCCAAGAAAGACTTGATGTCATTGTCTTCATACCAGTTGAGCGATGGGATGCGTTCTCCTCCAATCTCAGGGTGACCGCACATGATCCTTGTGAAAGCTCTGAAGCTTTCTCTGGGCAGCGCTGTGCGATTTTCTGGAGACAGAAGACGAAGAGCTGCACTCATCTCTGCAAAACTGGAGAGGGAGGAGAACTGAAGGGAGGACAGAGAAGCACGAGCAGAAGGTTTGGAGGAAAAGTGAAGGAAACACAGCAGGGTAGAAATAAAGGAAGGAAACAGGAGGGGGGAAAAGCATAGCAGTCAATTAGGAAGTAAGAAAAACATTAAAGCACAGACATAAGACAATGCAAAATCACAGCAACAGTAACGTTAATAGGAACAACGCCACTAGAAGTTGCACAGTTGGCCTCATGTGTGCACAGTGACTTACTGATTAAAGTCCAAATGTGCAGCACCTCTGAGCAATTATGTCCAATATGTCTAATATTTGAACCAAACACAGACTGAGGAGGAGACACAGGAGGAAGTCTGTGTTTTCTTACATCATCTATGAGCACTGCTAGCTCCTGGGAAACCGAGGTGACGGCTTGACTGATGGTCCTGAGGTCTCCAGCGTTGACCATCAGACGCTCTCTCTGACAGGGAGGACAGACGGACAGTTTTACTGACGGTACTCGCAGCAGCTCATCAGATACATACGCAGCACGAGCAACTCAGAGTCACAGCAAACGGGCAGAAAACTAAAGTCAGTGACTTTTGGACTGTGAACAAAGCACAGGTTTCCATGCCAACTGGTACCTACTGTGGCGAACTTGGTCAAGTCGAGCTGAGAAAGAAAAAGGCGCTCAGCCTCCTGCAGGACGTCAGCCGGTTGGTCACACAGCTGAGTCTGAAGATCGGTCATGGCGCCTTCTCCTCCGTCTACTATCAGCATCTGTCCCAGCATGCTCGCATTACACACCAAGTCCTTTATCTGCATCTGAGCTCCGGTCAGTGTCGGCTGGAGGGGACAAATTTGATGCCACACAATTACTTCGCATATTTTTACTAATGTTTACATATTTTTAACAGGGAAGGAAAATGCTCGCTCCTAATTTTTCTGAATTCTAATTAAGTTCTACTGAGCCAGAAAAATCAGTTCAGAGCAATTCATTCTCTTTCCCCGTTATTTGTGAGCCAAGACTGTAAATCGTATTTGTTGCCCCTTATTCATTCTAATAAATTCCATTTATTTAGTGTCTCATTTAAAGCAGAAAGGGTTTGGTATTTTAGGCTGCACTGGCCAGAACAGATTAACCAATTCAACAAAACCCAAATTCTTTACTGGTTCATTGTTCAGCACAACAGATTCTGGTAGAGTTTGATAAACAAGCATTAAAGCCGGTTACTGACCAGTAAATTAAGACGAGCGTTCAGCAGCTGGTCCACAGCCGGAGACGACAGGCTGCCATTGGTCAGGAGGAAGCTGGAAAATGTCTCGTTGGCCCTCAGGCATTGTTTTACTGGGAGATCTACATTGGAAACATCAAGGTTAAGCACTGCACTGGTCAACACTAGAATTACTGTTTACAACTAGAACAGAGCATCAGAAACACAAGCTGTCTGCAGGTTACTGTTTGCACTGTGAACACCAACAACACACGCTTTATAAACTTGAACGTTAAGTTGTTCATTTGTTGGTTTTTCAGGTAATGTACAATATCAACTATTTTCTTCTTACATTTTTTTCCACACTTTAACATCTTGGACTGGCTAACTTCAGGCTTTAGGTCGGCACCACACCATCATTTGGTTTTTAAATCTGTTTTCTTCTGGTGCAAACACTCCGCTACAATCAGAACTGATAAGATTAAATTGCACTCAGCTCTAGAGGCAACAAACTCAGTTCAGCTAGTTGATAACTACATTATTCCTGGCTCTGACTGTCCTTCCTGAAGAGCTGGTTTGTGTAACTTAATTAAAAATGGAAAACTGATCATTTATACTAACCACAGTTACAGCTACAAGCTTCATAATGTCGCTTTCTTTCTCTCTTATCTTTGGGTGTTTGAGAAAAACTGTGTCTTTCTTCTCCTGTGAGGTGTAAATAAACCATTTAGGTTATTTTTTCCTCCCAAACTGCAAATCTTACTTTACTAAAATGACATTTACTCTAATTAGGAAGCAAACTCTTCTATAGTTTTAGAAAACTGGACATTAAGTTCATCAGGACTTCTAGAACTAGCAGATGCTATTGTGGGATTGGTTGCAGGAAAAAAACAACACATTGAAAACCTGCCTTCATTCATTCAATTGTTTGCCAAAGGCAGTCGAGTAACTCAATCCTGCCACAGCAGGGCGAAGCTGAACAGACACTGTGGTACTTTCACAACAGCAGGAACACACATTCATCTGCTCATACAGAACAGCGACTGTGAGCTTCTGTAAAGCCTCAGACCTGCTCAGATAAGTCTGGGAACAGAAATGGATTAAAAATCTACAGTATTTCTGTTTTTTGTGTGTATTTCTATGTTCTCTTGATGAACTTTGTGAACCTCTTGCTGTTATATTTGACATTTCTTTCTTTGTATGAATGTTGTTCTTTAAAACTTCTGTCTTTTTTTGTATTTTCTGAATCAAACTGTGCATCATCTTGACTTCCTGTCCTCCACCACACGTCGACTTTGTTGAAACCACACTACAACTATTCTGACAGGATCAAGGGCTGTATTGACTTTCTTCATCTACATTATTTATTCTTGTTCTTAGAAAGCAAGCCTAAAGATATACCTTGACTTCATCTATAAATCCATTTTGTGTCTGTTTCTGCCGCAGTAACTGGACTCATTCATCATTTGCAAGAAATATATCAAACCTTGAGGCTCCCCCATGGTTTCAAATCTGGAAAAACATTCTCAACTGAATAAGGTGTCACTTTAAAAAGCTTCCCCTTGTGTGTGTGTAAGTGTCATTGTGTCAGACTGACAACATACTCCTGTAGATTAATGCTAGAAAATACTTAAACAAGCTGTTTTACTTGGCCAGGCTCCGATTCTTTCTCCCAGATTCTGGACACTTTCCATCAGGTCCTGAAAGCCAGAGAAGCTCCGGTTTCCACTGTAGGACAGAACAGTCTGGGCGTCCACAAAGAGACGCGACAGTCTGGAGGAGAGAGACAAACAAGAGGTATATTTACTGGGACAAACAGATGCAGTTAAATTATATTAAACCTACTTTCCACTCAAACAATCAACACCTTCTGTGAAGATCACGTACGGCATTCAAATGTAATGTGGGTCAGTTAGAGAAAGGGGATTATTTATTGTCTTTTGAAATACAATGATCTCTGTTCTGTTCACATATGTAACAACAAGAAACATTAGTTTTCAGAGCCTCATCATCACTCAGTAAAAACAAGAATAAAATCACTAAATGAGTGGCGTTAAATAAAAACAACTGCTGCCTAGAAAGACGGGAAAGTTCCTGCTGAAAAAGTCCCAGTAAAAACAAACTATTTTACATTTTAGGATTTGTGCAGATTCAACTAATGAGATACAATTTGGTAATTGCTGAACTTTACAGGTTCTGGTAGACTGAGCTGTACTACCTGTTTCCAGCATTTTCAGTCTCTGTGCTAAGCTAAGCCGCTAGCTGTAGCTTCATAGATAACAGTGGTATCCACCTTCTGATTTAACTCCTGGCAAGTTGGGATTTTCCAACAACCCAAACTATTCCAATAAGTTACGCTAATGTAAAGCCATGCAAAGTACACAGGCAGGCAGGGTCTCTCCATTTAGTGGCTTCCGACATTGAAGAATTACACAATCTAGCACAAAGGCTGTAAATTAATTAGTCTCATCTGTTCAGTTAGTCACAAAATAGTTAAACACTAAAGTATGCCTTTAGGCAGCACCCTGAATAGTACCAACAAAAGTCAAACATGCTTAAAAATGATTGACAACATTTTTATTTCTAAAATACACCCGGGCTAACAGTTTATTTATCAGAATGAATACTGTGTCCACTTAGCAAAAATCTGGACAGCTGACCCTGTTTTTACCGCCTGTCTACCTACATGGAGTTGTCAAAGTTGCCGGCCTGTCCTGGTGTCTCCCCTGCTGTCGGGCTGTGGAAGCAAGGGTTGTTGATGTTGCAGATAATGCCCTGAATCCAAGGCAAGGTGCCGGCTGATGGCAAGGCTTTGTTTGGAAAGTGACCTACAAGCAAAAAGAAGGAGAAAGAGTTTAGCACCAGGAGATTAGCTTGAGATACAAAACAATGAAAATACTGTGTGTGTGTGTGTGTGTGACCTCAAATATAGTCTACAGGCACCCGATTGAACAAAAACTCCAGGATAATCTAGGTTGCCATTATGTGAACAATTACTGTATTTTTGGTTTTGTTTTTTTTTTCTCCTCAGTCTGATGTTATCTGACTTTACAAGCAAGACTGACCTAAAGAAGACAAAAACAGGAGAGATGAAGAATATTCCTCTCTGCCTTAATGTACAAAATGTCTGAAAACATATATATTAAATCCACAAGAAGTGTTTCTTCATATAACACCATACATATAAAGTAAATACAAATCCCTCTGTTAGCATTCAGTAATTAAAGTTGGTAATCTGCAAAGTATCCCAATATGTTGCTGTCTTTAGAAAGTTTACATCTTCTGCAAAGACAAAGTTACCAAGACGTAGCTTTCTAAAGTACAGAACATGTAGGGCACCGGCTAACTGGCTCACAGCATGTTGTGTTTTCGTGTCTTACCAGGTAAAGTTATATCACCTTATGCAAATGCAGGACCTCTGAATGAAGGTCACGAAGGTAAGGAAAGCAAATGTGCGTGCATGAACCAGGAATCACTGTCAGTGAGTTAATCCTCTTTAGGGGGTTGGCAAAAGGCCATTCTTCAGACCTGTAAGCGTGTGTGTGTGTGTGTGTGTGTGTGTGTGTGTGTGAAAAGACACACATTGCATAATAACACTCACATTGGCTCTGTTTGTAAGGAGGATGTGAATGACGAACAGAGATGAGGATGACGAAGAGGAAGAGCGGCCAGAGGAGCTCAATGATCAGCTGGATCTGCACAAAAGGAGAACTTGGAAGCTGTTAATGGTGCATTAAATAATCAGTGGCCTTAACTGACTAGTGATCAGGACTACAGTCTGCAATGGACACAAATTATTTGTTTTTTTTTTTTCCATAAAGCTTCTCATGCTGGAGTTATTAGAGCAACATAATAAGTTGAACTATGCAGTTGTAAAATGATGCTTCTTATTTAGTGTCTCAGCCGCGTCACGTTTTACACGTTTCCATACAGAATCAACTTCGCATTCTTTTTTTCTTTCTTGCGAGTCAAAATGTGGTCACCTTGTTTCTTCTGCGGTATGTGATGTTCTTCCAGAGCAAGAGGTAGAGCTGTCTGAAAATCCCCATCGCTCCCCGTAGCTACCTGGCCATGATGCGATCCTGGAAAAAAAAAAAAAACTCAAGATGTGGTGAGAAAAAAAAAAAAAAAGACAAGTTCAGCAAACGCACCCTTGTTGCCAAGCTGTGCAGGATGACAGCTGGAGATATTTATCGCATTTCATCATTCCCTGTGTCTCACTGTTTCCTCACCGCTTTGTCTGCTGCTCTATTACAGCACTTATCAAATATATACAAGGACTGTTTGTGTGATCATCCAACAAGATGAGAACAAGTATGATCTGGTACGTCTAGGCAACTCTTTTCTTTTTACATTAATTTGAGCTGTTTGTAAAATTCTTAATGCTGACTATGAATAAGAATCATTAGTATCAGTGATGAGAAATTGACCCTGACCTTTACTCTGCAGAGGACAAATCAGCGACTGAGGACTTTTGAGCTTAATCCACATAGAAAACACCTGTCCTAAACTTTTCTACTTCATTCCCTTCCCTTTGACGACATATGCTGGAGAAAGATAAACCTCCTGTACGAGTGAGACCAAACAGGCTCTTTTTGTGTGTGTGTGTAATGAGTAAAGGTTGTCTTTTGTGCCTGCTGTGATCTGCTCAAGACAGACAATCCCCTGCTTTATCCTGAAATCCTCCTGATCCAAACAGCTTACCTGTTTCACTCTGAGACGTTCACTTTTGCTCTGCCAGAGCCTGCAGAATACGGTCTCTTGTAGTTGGTAGTAAACAATCTGAGGCTCAGGGTTTGGTGCCAGACTAATTTCCTTTGCAAATCGACCAAAGGCTCCAGTGTACTCATGCGTGCATTCATATGTTTGCCAGTCAAGGCTCAGCAGCTGTCAGGATTCAGTTTTGGAGACCACTGAAGCTTACAAACATTTGACATGTGAACCCTCCCTCAGGTCTACTTCCTCTCTCTCTCAGAGTCTCGCCTGAAACAGGAAAACATTAGCAGGCGGTTGAAGCAGTGTGATGTATTTGTCAGGTAATGCTCATGTAATGATTCACCGTCTCAGCCCATACAAACTGCGCACTTCAAGTGAGGTTCAACTTTGCGTTGCTTGAACAAAAAAAGGGAATTTCGACATTAATTTTTAGGAGGCAACTTGTGAAAACAAACGGACAGTAAAATGAAATGCTATTTTAGACACTACACTTCCTGTTTGCTTCACAGCACGCCTCTGCTTGTGAAAATAATGAGCTGTTGACAGCAAACTAAGAAGGAAACCCAGATTGTAATGTGAGGTTAGCTTGCTTTCCTTAGCATCCTGCACAGGGATGCTGTTATCGCTTACGAGGACTCACTACGTAAACTACACGTCAACGTACAGACTCACTAACTCTACAACTGCTGTTAATGATTACCTTGCTGTAATAGAAGTGCTTTTAAAACTCCTCTTCGGACACAGCAGCGGCCGGTAGCTTGACATTGACGCTCCAATGTTTGTAACGGCAGGTGTTAGCTGGAGAAAGTCCCGCCCACATGCAACGCTGATTGGCCGTAGTGCATGGCAGGGGGCGGAGTCGCGGAAGCCGGTTAGGAATCTGATTGGCTGCCGTCAATGTTTTCGTAACGGAGGAAGTGTTCATTGGCCAGGCGCTGACAGGGAACTGACACGCTTAGTGCCTTAGATAATAACAAATGTATGCTTATATTCAAGTAGCAACACTATTTATTAGTACAAGCAGCGCACCATTATATATTATACTTATAGCTCATACAAACGAAAGCTCTAATATGAATTACATTATATCTGCATTCACTACATTAGTATTCCAAAAACAACTTAACAATTTATACAGTTTTTCAGTACATGTTGCATATTTGCTATCTCAGGTCAGCAGTGTATAAGCATGCGATTTATTTTCAAGTATTTAATTTTATATATATATGTATATAAAGCCAATAGTACAAAAAAATGCATCGGAAATTTATAGCAACCACTAGCTCTAAATAAATAACAGCAAGAAGACATCTTACAGATTTGTTTAATGAACATCCAAAACAGCAAATTCTTAAAAATATAAGCATCTCTCTATCAAATAAGGCAGTTACCTTGAATTGTGCATGATATCTACGTCATGTCAGGCACAGTCAGTGGAGCATGTGCGAATGAACCAGAGCACTGTAGTAAATAACCTTCTCTTCGCTTGTGGCAGACACTTGTAGATACGTATGAAATACACAGACCCTTTGTCCTGATTTAAAACGGCTCCTCCTCCAAGCATGTTTAGCTCAGGCACACCAGGCTGGAAGACTCATGAACTGGAGGATACATGATGCTATTCACCACTATGTAAGTTAGTGAAGTCAAAAAATATTGCGCTTTTACATTATAGCATCTCAGCTACTACCTGAACAGTTAAATATCTGATAAATATAAATGGAGAACTATCATCTATCCCTGTCATTTTAAATTACGCTTTCATATTCAAACGCACTTTACATCTTAAAAATATAGAGCTAGTCTAAGTTTATGGTATTCAGTGGTGTGACAACAGCTTAGAATACGCTGTGTGATCAATTGCATAATATTTTCTGAGTTTGGCAAAAGCTTCTGTAGCTTTAACACTGTGCAGTATGTTTGTCCTTGTGAAGCAGGAGGTGCTCAAAGAAACACTGGCTGCTCTTGTCCTGTTAGCAGTCGATACGTTGAGGCTGGCATCGTCTTCAAGTGAATCTGTCGAGAGAGAAATCAGATTTTAAACTCTGGGAATATGTTGCAAGGGCATACAAAAATGTAAAACAAACTTTGAGTGAAAAACAGAATACTGTATTTGTGAGTAAACGATATTTAACTGTGTATGTAACACATATTGTTGCCTCTCACCTCTCCGACAGCATTTGTCAGGATCTGGATGATCTTGTCATGTGGCGTTGCAACCACACTCTGCCCGTTGATTTCAATGATACGATGCCCGACACGGATTCCTCCTCTCTCCGCTATACCACCTCGCATCAAACTGCAGATCTGCAACAAAAAGAGAGAAACTCAGTGTTTTCGTTTCACAACAAGGGACTTGGTACGTGCTTTAGGTTTAGTTCCGTCAGATTTCTGAGTTAAATAAAAAATGATCTTTATTATCCAAGAGGAAGTTAACAGAGTGCACTGGGCTCTGGTATCTAAACACATTAATAAAGTTCATCCTACCAGAAAGGTGACTACTAAAAATCACTGTCATCTTCTACTATTGGTCACAGAGGAGTTAATGGTTCATGTGATATGAAAATTGACGTACGATGCCGTCCTCCACGCTGAAGCCCAGCTGAAACTTAGGTTCTGGTCTCCTGATAATCGCCATGGTGACTGGAGGGCAGTGGACTATGCTGAGCTTCACATACTTTTGGCTTTTCAGGTCCTGAGTTGAAAAAGAAAAACAAAAAACAACAAGCGAGGACAGTCAATCCACAATTATAGCAGCATTTGATTCATGCGTTTTTAGTTCTTCGAGGAGTTGAAGCTTACTGAGCGCTGACATGATACATTTTTCCTTTGCTAATTAGTTTATTGACGTAACTGAACATTTATGATCTTCTGTTGCTGTTTCAGTTTTGCTGAGTCATAGAGGTGGAATAACAGAAGCGAAACATTCTCTCTCATCCCCTTCAGGAGCTCTACAGTGAAATTACCGACACACTCAGCCTAATAGTTTCCACATACATATGAGTAATAACAAGAGGTAAAACCCAGCAGACAGAGGATGTAGGTCATATAGGTTCACACAAGACAAAACATCTCATTGAACAGTAGTAAGGAATGGATAAAAGGCATCTGGTGAACAGCTGAACCATCAAACAGAAATACATTTAGGCAAACTCTAGAAAGCAAAAAGGGGAAAATTCCTAAATATTCAAGCTAAGTCACATTAAATCTCACAAAAAGTTCCCACAGAGTTAGTTCACATCACTAGAAAACTCACCTTTTATGCCTCACAGCAGTAATATTCAGAGGAGGACTTCTGTGCTTTACAAAGGCAGTAAAAAAGCTCTGCCAACTCTGCATCACGTTTAAAACAGTGACAGTCTGCACACATTTTATACCGGTAAAGTTGATGAATACTAATACTGGTGCTGAAAACCCCATAACACATGAATCCGCTGTCAAATCAATGCTGTGTGGAAACACAGTGCCACCTAGTGCACCCTAAGGACAGCACACCATCTGTCACAAAGCAAGCTTAACTGGACATATAGTGATCATATTTATGTAATAATACAACTTCTTGTTATTTCCAGCACTATAAGTTTATTGCTTGTGTTCCCCTCTTACCCGGATGATGTTCTGGCAGGTGGTGATGGGCAGACCCACCAGGCTGGTGCCATTGACAGACATGATGCGGTCACCGATGCTGAGCTCGCCGCAGCGCTCAGCCGGGCCTCCGTGAAGGAGGTTGGCCACGACCACCGTGGGCAGGATGGAGCCCCAGCCCGACTCCACGACTGCCAGTCCCAAGATCTCTCCAGGAGCCTTGGTGATGGCGACCTGAACCACAGACACACACACATTTGGTAAATTAGTGATCTCACTACAATTATCCACACTAGAAAGGCATCATTATTTAGTTTAATATGTGCTTGGAATATTGTGTAAGCAACGTGTTTCATGCAGTGGTCACAAATTTTGGGTGGCCTTTGCAGACGCAGAACATATAATTTAACCTTTAACCACGTTGGAGGACGGCTTGAAAGAGCAGCCAGGACACTACAGCCTTGTAGGTGGAGGTTTTCCTGCTCTAGGTCCTGGTGTGATTTGGAGTTAAGAGGAGTTGGGAATGTTTTTGAACATTATGCACTACTCAGTTCACGCTCTATTTAAAGGGTGATGAACTCAGGCAGGCAAACTGTGAGCAGGAACACACTGAACAGACAGATGGACGGTGTGCAGGAGCAGATTATGCCACAGGAGAAGTTTCAAAAGCTTATTTTGGACATTTTGATATTAAACTTGCAGTAAAAGTGTGTCGAGTTTGATAGAAATTGTAGCTACTATCATTCCAAACTCAGCTGCATCTGTGAGTTTTTGATACTTAAACTCTAGATTTTCTAAAAAAACAAAAAACAAAAACGTTTGAAGTGTTGCAGGAACAGGAATGTGAGTTGGAGGACAGCAGGGCTGGACACTCTTCATCTCTCACAAACACCTCCTAGCTTTACTTCTGTCCCACCTCAGGACTAGATGCTGCTCCATAATGGATTGTACGAGATGGATTTTAAATATGTATTTGTAGAAAAGCTGAAACACGGTTTTAAGTTAATTCAGTGAATATTCTAAGATTAATAAACATGTTTTTTTTTTAAGTAAAACCTGAGCCCTTGACCCTACAGATAGTCGCTCATTTGGTGTTTTGATGATGGTGATGCGCAAATTTTTTAAAAATCATTTTTATATTCCTCTGGATTCCCCTATGGATAGGTGCATTGTCATCCTGGAACAGACCACTCCCATCAGGATAGAAAGGTGTCATCATAGGATAAAGGTCACACAAAATGATTTGCAATGACCTTTCACTCTCCAGGGAACTGTTGGCCTGAAAGTATGTCTGCACATTGCCCCCCCCACAGCATAACAGAGTCACTAGATCCCCTCTCAGGAGGGTCAAGGGCTCAGGTTTTCCTTTAATTTGTGATTTGTCTGTATGTCTATATATCTGTGGTTAATTTAAGGTGTCAAAGAACTTCTGCATTCACTTTTGCTACACCTGCCACCATTGTGTCACAGATTTTGTGTGAATAAGAAACCATCCTCCCACATATCCCCAAAGATTGCAGGACGGCTATATTTTGTGTGAAGACATGGAGACACAATCACTCCACTTACATCTCGGAGGTTCTGCGAGTCAGAGAAGTGGGCCAGATCTCCGTTGTAGAGCTCCTGACTTTCCAGGTATTCACTGTACTCGCCCGGCCTCAGATCGCTGGCCTTGATGCCGTTGGCCTGGAGGAACTGCTGGTAAGCCACTCCGAACGCCTGCCCGATAGCCTGGGCTATGACCTGAGCCTGGGAAACGGAGAAGGAGGCCTCAGGGTTCAACATTGTTGTTACACTCACGTCCAACAAGAATACCTGTTGAATACATTTTCTTCCTACACTTGTTTTGCCCTCCATGTTCATGTTAACATATCAAAGCAAATTAATTCATTTGCAAAAAACTAAAGACGAATGTCACACCCTGAAAGTAAAGCACCAACAAAACAGAAACAACAAAAAAAATAAAACAAAAATAGAAAACTAGAGCAAGTCAAAACTAGCTCCTCACTGTCTGATAAAACTTATATTTTACGGTTTCATCAATTAGTTTCATTTACTCCTCCCTGCCTATTGTAAACCAAATTTCATATAATTTTCTGAAACGTATTCTAAACAAAAGTTTTAATATCACATGAAAGAGTTTGATTGGAAAACACGGTCAGCAGAAGCAGAGGCCTTATGGCCTTCAGTATCCCACAGCTAATTAGTTACTAAAAGAAGCTCTTTTTCTTCCTATTCAGTGTTGCCAACTTTGGAAAACTGGGACAACAGCCAGAGCACTTCTACATTCAGGAGAACTCACTGGCTGTCTGGGGGAAGGAAACCAGGCCAAGCTGAGGCTAAAACTGTTGTCCCGCAGAAAACAGCACATTTGATGTGAAATGCAACATTGTGTGCTGCAAGAGGCAGCCTCATATTGTCTGGGATCCTCAGCCTGTTTACATTATATTGTATGAAAATGACCAAAAAAAAAAAACAGCAGGAAATCAAATCACAGCAGAGAGTTGACAAGAAAAAAGGATCTCAACTTTTCTCCAGTTTGTGACCATGATACAACAACTGGAGACTGACTCACATCCTCAGAGGAGAAGACATGGCAGATCATTAAGCACTTCTTCTGAGGCCCAGAGGATGAAGAGGAAGTGGCTGGGTCATCTTCTTGCCCTTTGCGCTTTCTTCGTGCCATCAGGACCACGATTTTGCCAATGTCGGCGATGTAGGAGATCATCTGCAGAGCGTGATCCATCATGGCTTCCTGAGTGGAAACAGGACACGAGGGGGTTAATACTATTAGAAACAGAGAGAAGAGAGGAAGCTCTGGTTTGTAACCTGCAGAGACTTGAAACTTGCTGGAGACAGACGGGTAATCAAGTGAACACAATGAGCAGCGCCACACCTTCTTTATTTTTGTCAGTGAGCTTATTACTGTCTGGCACTGAACTTTCAAGCAGTGAACATTTAAAACCTAAATCCTGGAGAGATTCATACTGAAGAATTAATGAATTTAAATAGGATCATTATTATCCTCTTGCACATTTCAAGTTGTTGCACTACATGCGTTGTAACCTTGCACATTTTCAGGTGATTCATTTGCACATTCCTGCACACTGAAAGCACTTCTTGTGATTTATAAATTGTGATTACACTTACTGCTAATTTGACTTGTAACTCTGCTTCCTATTTGTTTAATGAAACTCACTACCTACTGACTGGCAGCACTTTTTAAAATCTGTATGTTACTGTGTCCTGTCATGCAGGAAGTCACATTCACTGTATGTGAAAACCTACTGGGCAATAAAACCTTTCTGATTCTGATTATTACAATAAAACCAAAAAGTATGAGATGCATGATGTGCTTCAATTCAGGCCTTTATCAAAGACTGATACATGTGTTCCCCTCGTGTTTAACAAATCAACCGAGTCCTCCAACCAGTGTCTTAAAACAAAGCAGGAGGGTTTGTGCTCTTTCCAGTTCATGAAGATCATTCTTCTTGCCGGGAGCATCCCAACATGAAAGACGGTTTGTAGCAAATGAACATATTGGTTCAAACCTCTGACCAACACCTCGGGCAAATGAGAGCTCTGACATGTAAGATTTCATTCAAAACTGCAAACGACTTTGACCAAAACATCCTGGAGCACTGATCTCACGAGCCAGGTTGAATAGGAAATTCATACACATACATTAACATCATAAAAAAAGGTTTAGTGAACTTCCATGTGATTAAAGTGTTGCTGTAAAGAAGCTGACTACTGAATCTAAGATGTGAACTTTAATGGAACAAGACAGAGAATCTTTGAACTAAAAAAAATACAATTGTAACAAAATTTTATGACAAAAAATCATTAGTAGACAGAAGTGAAAGGATCCCTTTAAAGTAGATGAAACCTCAGAAACCAGATAGAGAAAAAAAAACTATGTGGCTCAAAATTGAAGAAAATTATTTGTCAACAGGAATGTTAAAAAATAAAAGAGTATTTATCTTTACATGCTTGTTTCAGTGAGAAGCAATCAGCCGTTCAAAGAGAAGACGTGACAGCGGATGACCCACTTAGAATCTCCTGACAATTCAACCACATAGTGGAAGAAAATAGACTCTACTATTACTGCAGAGGCCTCGTATTAAATCACCACCCAGTTCTATATTAAGGCTTCACTGCTCTGAGAGCTCAACTTGAAGGTGAACGTTTAGAAACGCAATGCTTCCTTGTAAAATAAAAGGTTTCTCATTACACAATAAGTCTAACCCTGAATCGAATGAGGTTTCACACATTTATCTGGTGTTCATGCTGAGAGAGTGGGAGGGAAACTTAATCAAGAAAAATAAATACTGGAAACACCAGAAGAAGAGTCTCTTCTAATCACACAGTGGCTTCACAGCAGCATGATACTGTTAAACTGCAAAGCTGTGCTTTTCTACGACACATATTGCAGTATGAAAATATGTAGGAATATTCACCAGATGACATATTTATCTGTATTAGGAAAGAATTAATTATTCTAGAAGGATCATGGGGACTTCGTAGGGGTGTGAATCTGCATAGAAAATAGCAAATCTTTTTTTAAAAAGTTGAAAGAAGTCTTTTGGAACCCTTCTCATAACCTCACCAAATGCATCCAAAATAGTTTGTTTTTCTATAGATGTTGTTTAGATGTGGTTTTGTACTCGTCGTACAAAGCTATGTGGTGCCGCTTTAAATAGTCAAACGAATTCGCTGTGTTGCCTTGTGCTTTGCTTATTTCCATACAACTGATGCGTGTTTCTTTTTGAAGCCAAACCTTCCTTTTCAGTGTTTCCTTAGTTTTACTCGCTCACTTTGCTACTCACATGTGAAGTTTACATGTCAACAAACTCTGTGTCTTGTGAATGAAATAAAAAAAAAATATATAATATAATAAAACAAAACAACAACCTCTGTTTATGCAAGAAGTCCTAAATGGGGCAAGTTGCATTGCATGTGACTACTGCCCATATGGCGATGTTGATGCTGACATGACGTATTGTGCAGCTCTACTTTACAACACATGTAACCTACTCAGAGACCCTATTAAACATCCTATGTGTTTTCGATCAAGGTTTCTAAAACGTGAAGATTTGAAATACGAAACCATCCACGTCTCAATTCACACTTCATCCAACATCCAGAAGTCTACCGAGATCCCGCTGATCATCAGTTCTTGTCGGAGACAGGAACACATCTGTACATGGTAACATTACATAGCAGCACTGCTATTGCTATGCAGTATTAATATATATATCACTAATGTATTTTGAGCGCCAGTGATCCCTGGCACAAGTGTCACAAGTGAGGAGTAATGTAGGTATAAAAGTGAGTAACTCAGGACAGAGCTTACAGTACCTGTGTGTCAGCAGTGAGCACTTTGATTCGCTGAGTGGAGATGAATAAATCCACTTCTGTCATTGGCTGAGATTCTCCCTCTGGAGCCTAAAAGAAACAAAAAACAAAGTCAAACGCAGTCCTCTAACAACACTGGTCTTTGTTATAGTTGCAGTACTGAGATAAGTACAAGACATGTGTATTTGTATTCTATTGGTCAGCTACTGTTGTCATTAGAGCAGAATCTGGATTTCAATATGGCTATGTTCTGTAAGAAACAAACACAAGCACTGCAGCACAACAGGTTTCATTCATGTCACAGTAAAGGCTGTTATGCAGGGACGCCGTGCTCCTGTTTCAAAGCATGTTCTTTTTTCTTTTTTGTTTTTAAATTCACCTTTATTCGGTCCACAGCCTCCTGAGCCTGGGCCATGCGAGCGTTAGTCGATGGGTTCCTCTCTGATTTGATCTGAGTGGAGCCCAGATACTTGGCACCAAATATCACTCCATCTAACAGGTCCTCAGGGTCACAAGGACCAGGCACTACAAAGCAACACACAACAACATGTAAGTATTCTTTGGGCCATCAGTGAGGTATTTGACAGATCACTGTTTGGTGAAACAAGAAGCACACAGAAGTTACTCACCATTTTTATATGAAGGTTGGTCATCAGCACTCTACAATGACAGACAAAAATGAATAAACTTAAGTCGAGGTTCAAATGCATGTGAAGGGTTAGGGAGTACTTCTAATTCACTAACTAACTGGATAGTCGATCCACAGACATGTAGAAGACAATCCTGACTGTGCAATAACTTTAATCAACGCTGGTTAAAATAACAAAGGAGGCTGTTTTCATTTGCTGGTTGTAGCTTCACAAATACAAAAAGAATGCTACGTCGACTTTCTTAGGAAGTTCATCCATCCATCATCTATACACCGCTTAATCCTCACTAGGGTCATGGGGGGCTGGAGTCTATCCCAGCTGACTCAGTGTGAAGGCAGGGACACCTGGACAGGTAACCAGTCTATCACAGGGCTGCACTTAGAGACAGACAACCAAGCACACTCACATTCACACCTACGGACAATTTAGAATCACCAATTAGCCTCAACATGTTTCTGGACTGTGGGAGGAAGCTGGAGAACCCAGAGAGAACCCATGCTGCACGGAGAGAACACGCAGAAAGATCATGGTGTCCCCACCGGGGGTCGCGAACCGGCGACCTTCTTGCTGCGAGGCAACGGTGCTAACCACCGAGCCACCTTGCAGCCTCTTAGGAAGGCTCTGGTAACAAGTGATGAGCATTTTGACTACTTTTGATGTTATGCAGATTTCATAACTAACTGACGAAACAATAAGGAGCAAATATTGGATTAATTAACTTGTTGTAGCAAAAGTTACAGCTTGCATTGGTCATATTTTAACATGCCAGAAGGTAAAGGTATAATTAATTTCCTATTATTTAACTGTATTTTTTGTCTTAAAGCTGGTTTTGCCACAACATCCCAGCATACATCGCTCTGAATGGTCTAAAGCTGTAACTGTGTTACATCAGGTATGGGGGTCTTTTGTAAAGAAAATGATTTATAAAAATATTTTAATATTTACGACTAGGCCTGTGACTGCTGATTATTTTTTCGTTGGTGATTAAACTATTGATTATTTTCTTGATTATTCAAATAGTTATTTTCTCTATGAAATGTCAGAAATGGTAAAAACAATGTGAAGAGTGTTTCCAAAAGTCCAAGATGGCATCTTTAAATGTCTCGTTTTATCCACAAACCAAAGATATTCAGTTTATTGTCATATAGCAATAAATAAAACAGAAAATATTCAATTTTCAAAAGACAGAATTAGAGAATTTTGACCTTTTTGTCTTTGAAAAATACACAAAACCAATATAATCAAAATTGTTTATATTTAATGTAAAAGTTTACAACTAACTGATTAATCACTGCAGCTTTATTAAGTAATCTGTGTTTTAGCTGACCGTAGAAAAGCACCGACCTGCTCGCTCTCTGCAGCAGCTTCTCTCTCCGGAGGCTCCTCCCCCAGCTTCATCCACACCGGCTCAGGATACTCATCGTCGGGCAGGGAGTTGAGGGAGTCCTCCCTGTGTCGCTGCTGTTGATGGTTCCCGTAGTGACCCCAGAACCTCTGAGTGTCCTCCTGGCTGTAGGAGACTGACACCACGGCGTCTACCTCCCCTCTGTGGGCGAGGCGGGCGGGACGGGGTGTAGCGCTGATCTCTGTGCACTGCAGCAGTCCCAGCAGGTCTCTCTGGTGGCTTTCAGAGAACAGCAGCCCCGTGGTTTCAGTACTGTCGTCTGTTAACAGGGAAGGAGCGCATGCTTCCAGCTCGGACAGGCCGGGATAGTGACAGTGAGGTGGCGTCTGGTGACTGGGATGAGGCTCTTCCCCCATTAGCTGGAGCTGGCTGAGCAGGGTGTGGATGCGGCTGTGGTCTTCATCAGTTGATCTTGTGTTTGCGACCTCGAACCCCTCACTGATATTATCCTCAGCCTCCCTAAATGTCACCTCCTCCTGGTCGTCCTCTACACCCTCCAAGCCTTCAGCCCTCACCTCTACCTCCTCCTCCTCCTCAACTGCCTCATCCTCTTCTTCCAAATCCACCTCAACATCTTGCACTGGCTCTGCAATATTCGCCACGAGCTCTTGCTGTTTCACGTCGAGTGGAGTTAAAACGTCTCTCACGTCCAGAGGTGACAAAACTGACTCACCTACACTTGCCTTGTCCAGACTGTCGGCCGAGGGGGGCAGGCTGGAGTCGTCCAGATCATCTGCTGAACCCGCCTCACTGGAGGAGTCCGACCTCCAGTCCAACGGAGGAGGCTCGATCAGGTTGTAGGTCTCCAGATCCTCTGCCTCTGAACCTGGAGGAGCCGTTGCTGTCAGACTGCTGACTTCAGAGACTCCATTAACAGGGACTGAGTCAGACAGTGTGGGCGCTGTGGGTGCAGAGGCTGGCTGATCAACAGGGCAGCAGTCTGAGTCCATCTTGTGAGAAAGCCTGTCAGAGGAAAGCTGGCATAACTGTGCTGAGTCCTTGCTGTGGTCGATACAGCAGAAGTATCAGGAATCACAGGATGTCCAAGGACCTGAATGACCCTGTAATTAAATATATCAAACAGCACATTATTATTATTATTATTGATCCCAGCAGAGCAAAAGACTAACACCATGTGTGGCTGCATCAGTCAAACGAAGCACTATCTCAAGAACAATCTTTCACCCTCTTGTCTCCTGAACATCAAGATAGAGAAAGCAGCCGAAAGCTCAAAGTACATCAACAGCATGCACAGTGACATGTGTGCAAACATCAAATAGACAGATTTAAAAACACCACACTTTACATGATTTTACCAAAGAAATACATTTATGCAGCTCCAATTACACTTGTATTAACACACATTCAAACATGGAAAGCAAAGCAAAGGGGAAAGGTAATTCTGTTCAAATGCAGTTAAGAAAAACACACCATACTTCATTCAAAAAATGTTAAATTTAGAAATATCGTCCTTGTCCTGAAATAGTACTGTCAGCAAAAAGGCTGAAGATTCTTAAGCCTTTCCATTTGGGTCCTTTAGAAAAATTCGGCAAATAAATGAACCACCAGGTAGCACAAAGTTTAAAGAAATTTCTGTTTTAGTATTTGTTCATATCGCTTCATTGAGTGCACTAACATGTGAATTAACTGCGTAAAAAGCCACAGAACCAGACATGAAGGGTGCATTTTACTGATGAGCTTTAAGCGTGGATCTATTCAGTACCTTCGACAGGGTGAAGACTGAACCGTTATATCGGATAATAGTAACTTAACTGGATGTTATTACAGCTGCAGGACTTTAAACAATCTGGTAACCTCAAATAGACGAAATCTAAATGGAAACTGGAAGTGGGACATCACTCTCCCTACAAAACTACAAGGACACTCGGAGGAGGTGATTACACTTTTTTGGGTTGGCAGCAGAGAAAATGAACGTTCAGCCAAAAGAGGAAACCCTGAAAAAGCCGCAAGCTTCACCCTGTAAATCCAGACAGCTGAGTTTGGCTAACTAAAGTTAGCAACAAACGCAGCTTGAAGCTAACGACTGAGCTAGCTAGTGCTAATTGAAACCGCAGCAGGCGCATTAAGCAGACATGGGGGTGAAACAGGTGATTGAAAACCGCGAAGTTTAAGGGGCCATAAGAGGAGCTCCTACCTGCTGGTTTAAATCTTCCTCCGTTTCTTTGTGTCCAGACAGAGACTCCTGCGGCTGCCACGACAGATGAGTTGACGTGGTTTGGAATTTGAACCTTTTCCAAAACTTTGCTTTAGTTTTATTCGTCATACTAACAACAGCAGCACGGTTGAACGTTTTAATTTCACATACTCCGGTGGTTAAAACCACTCAGAATGAAAAAGCAGACTTTTCCACACATTGCTGCTGCTGCCGCTGTCGACTGACAGCTTTTATTTATTGGCTGCCTGTGTAGTTGTGCTGCGTTCAAGTGCTCCCGTAGCTTCCCTAAATCAGCAGAAGTTTCTCGGTTCCTTCTTTCTCTTCTTTACGTCTTCCTACACGGCTGTTCACATGACTGAACCATAAACTACTTAAAGCAATTCCCCTAATTCTGTGTTACAAACAAAGCCTGAATTTCTCAAAATCAATCACGCGTGACATTTTAATAACACAACAATCCAACTTATCAATAATGTCGACATTCTTATTGAATTTATAATACCAGTTTATCGAGATAAAATGAAGCTGATAGACTCTACTTTGGCTGAATGAAAAAAGGGGATCTGGTATCTTTTATGCGGTCAATAGCGCTTAATAAAGTGTTAATTACGATATATTTGTTGGCACCTGAAGGCAACAGCCCGATACGTCAACAGCCACTGAGTTGATCGCTCAGTCCCGCTCAATCAAACGTCGATCGAAAAAAAAAAAAAACAAGCAAGCCACGAATTAGCAATGTCTTTCTTTTTTTTTTTATCTTTCTTTCTTTGAATTCCTCATCAATGCATGTCATAATGTCATCAATAAGCATTAAACATCTTCTTTTAGGTATTTTCAAATATTCTAGTAAGTGCCATCTATACACGATTCACCAGGCATAAATGATTCAAGTCAGGACTGCCAAAAGTTTATTTTAAAAAGTTCATTAGTTTTTTTGTTGTAACTTTATCTGCAGTTATTTTACATTTGATTCAGGACATATCTCATGCAGCATTTGCCTAATTTCACCAGTATGACAGATTGCTTCCATATAGGACTTCATCTCACACTAAACTTTAAGCCACAATCTCAAATTTTAGGACATATTCCTCAACAATACATGTTGTAACGTCATCAAACAACATAAAATAATTATTTTTGTTATGATTTAAATCTATAGATTGGACCGAAACAGTATCAACCAGTCATGAATGATCAAAAACAGGACTGTCAAATCAACAGGTCATTTAGAAAAGATCATTTTATTATATTATCTAACAATCATTTTACATTTTACAGTGTACATTTCAGGCAGCTTCGGTGTCCACTTTGAGCAATAACACAGACCGTTTTAATATACAACCTCTTCAGTGAGCATACCAGGCTTCACTCTAAAGTCTTACATCAGTCTGTACTGGTTCTTTGTTGCAAATCAGACATTTCTGCAGCTAATTTCACCAGTTAGGACAATGTCAATGCCAGAGGAACTTATTCATAAACCCGACTGTTGTAGTGTAACTTAAGGACATTACATGACATGAATGAGCTCTAATCTCAACTTTAAACATTATTTGACAAAATCTGAAGGATTCCAGCAGCTCGATTAAGGCATGATAACATATTCACAGTTCATAAATCAATGCGAGATTCAAAACCAGGTGTACGGAGTGTGTCTCTGAGGCAACAGTTACTTAAAAACCTGCACTTTCCTTTGTTATTCACAACCGACATCATCCCTGTTACAGCTACTTATGCACTGACCTTTGAGGTGATTGACTGAACCAGTAGAGTCTTAAACCTTCTGTGTTTGTTGCAAGAATTGACCTGTGACCTGAGAGGAAGAGGATGCAGATTGACTTTCCACACTGATAAACACACTTGCACAGAGTCTTGAACACTTTAGGCAAAATAATTGTGCACTAAGGACAACTTACACCAGAAGCTGCCTCCGGTTAACCTCAGAGTCATTATGGCTTGAATTATCATGTGAATCCTGCTTTCTGAAAACCTCTACACTGCACTAAAGTGGCAGGAAATACTGTCATCTGCATTTAATTACATATAAATTGATAACTATAAAGTAAGAGCTAAACAGCAGAATTTTTGATCGATCATATCCATTAAACTGAAGATTCTTTGTCACTTGTTAAAGAGGCTTTCAGTTACATCTCGTTAAGGACGCGGATGAGTGACGACAAGTTCATTCAATCTATTCATTTTCTATGGTCAAGATGATTTAGATTTTAGATGCATTTCTTTCTACAAGCTACTGAAATTAGCATCCACAGACAGTCTGATTGGACTCTGATCAAACCAAAGATCTGCTATGACTCATTCAGTCAGCAGTTTATCCATCAACGCTTCAGATTCTTCCTCACCGCGGTGACGACTATGTGCTGTCTGACTGGTCACCGTTGCCGGAGCTCATCTGGATCAAACCGATCAGAGAGGAGGTGGTGCCCATCAGCCCCACCAGCCAGCTGGGGAATCGTCCCGCCCACAGGAAGCCCGGCGGCATCCAGTGAATGGCGTTGCTGAGGTCAGCCATGCTGCTGAGGATGGACAGCATCTCCCCTCGCATCTGGCTGCGCAGCTGAGAGCGACTGCAGGACAAAACACGATGATTTAGTAGAATATGTAGAACCTGTGACTTTCCCACCACAGAACGATGTCACAGCATTAGAATCTCGGTTTACATTAACTGCAAAACAATACAAGCCTTATATATGAAAAAAAGAAAACTGTAGATACAACACCTTCTGCCTTCTCTGTCCCTCTCAGATTTCCTCATCTTCTTCTTCAGAAGCGTCAGAACTCGTAGTGATCTAAAAAACAAAACATTCATATGACACTGTACCTCAGGCTGATGGTGTTTGGTTACAAAATACTGTAAAATATGTTTAAATATGTTTTACTTTTGTTACGTAATAAAGAAGACTATGTGTTCTAATTTGGGCTTCTTCTGAACAGTTTCCATGTTCTCACAGTGCTTACTTAAACTCATTTTTCGGTGTGAACAAAAATTGAATATTAACGTTGGTTATCAGCGATATCAGAAATCTTAATATCGGATATCGGTATCTGCCAGAAATGTTAATATCATGCATCACTATTTTTTACAAAGAGGTGCAAACAGCTTTTTGCATGTTTTCATTTCTTAAATACAAACTTCTAGTGACAATAAAAAACTACTAATTTCTAGGGATGCATGATGTATCGGCGACCACATCGGTATGGGCCGATATTAGTGGTTTTTTTCCCCATACATCGGTATCAATCCGATGAACGAATTTAGCCGATAATTGTCTAACATTCACGCCTTTATCTCAACATTTGATATTGCTGCTATTTCACAGATGTTTTACTTAAATGTTCCTGGTCATAAACATTAAATATTTTTAAATATGTTTTACTTTTGTTGCGTAATAAAGAAGACAATATGGTCTAATTTGGGCTTCTTTGTAAACAAAAATTGAATATCGACATCGGTAATATCGGTTATCGTGATATCAGAAATATTGGATATCGGTATCGGCCATAAATTTTAATATCGTGCGTCACTAATATATATATATATATATACTGCAAGTGTCTAAGCCTATTCCTGCTTTCATTCTTGTTATTTTGTCTGCCAGTAAATAAGAACTCCACGTCATTTGAATCATCACCAAACTTTATCATTACAGTTTTTCATCAGTGCATCAAGTCTTGACCGATTGATTTCTCACCTGAGGACTCCCAGCAGCAGCGAGGTTCCCCACAGCACCGTGCAGAGCAGCCACCACTTATCAGACTTGACTCTGATGAGCTCGGCGTCGGCGGCCCAGGCGATGTGCTCACAGGGGTAGTACAGCTGGTCAGCCACATTGGTCAGCACCGATATCCAGCGAACGCCTGCATCCTCCTCCTTGGAAAGACGCGCAAGATGTGTCAAAGCTGGATTGTGCATGATAACATCGTAACACACGATCAAGCTCTTTGTTACATCAGCTACTTGTTTACAAAGACAGATTGTTTGAATTTGGGGAAAAAAGCGACTATTTTGTTCATTCAAATGAATCAACAGCAGCGTTTTATCTTTATTGTTTTTCATATTCAGCAATCTCAGTGGAGCAGGCACTGATCCATCCCTCCCTGACTGGTCCAGCTTGTAAAAGGAACAACAAATAATGAACAAAGTGTTGCAGCGTGAGTCACCCCAGCTCCAAGCCCGTAGCTGTGAGAGTAGGCCAGCATGGAGAGGTCATCAAACAGCCTCAGCACCGTCCGGCAGTGACTGAGCTGAGCAGAAAACAGCAGCAGACTCTTCCCGAGCTGGTGGGACGAAACGTTGGCTTCTGCCTTCCGGGAAAGAGCTCCTCCGACCAGCTGAGAGCCGTAACAGAGCGTCCTGATCTGCAGAGGAACAAACACAGACACTTAACACAAGCATGAAGCATAAAGCAGCTGATAGGAGTCGGGAGCATTTTTCTGAGATGCAGTGGAAAATGATTTAAAAGAATATTTATCAAACAGTTTTCGCTGACAGAAATCTCTCAGGGATTTAATGTTGATGTAAACATCGGAACAATCCTGATGTAAAACCACACAGAGAAAAGGGGAGAAAACATACTTTTAATACATCAATAACTAGAAGGTAAAACATTTGAAAAGCACCACAGTTTGAGCTTGATTTCTATTATTGAGTAACATCTTCACACAGTCAGCATTAACAGATCATTTACCAACACTTTTTAAAGGAAACGTTTGGGTTGAAGTAACGTTTCCAACTTTTACAGAATGGATGGACTCTTATAAAGTGCTTAAAAAACAAAAAATACATGTTTTGTTTTGTTTTTTTTTAAATCAAACTACCTCGACAGGTTGGGAGATAATCTCGGTCCTTTTCTTGGTCAGTAATACATCAGAGAAAAAAGTCCTACAGAGTTAAATGTGGTGTCTTTAAACAGATTTTTTAAAAATTTGCCTGTGACAGTGAAAAACCCAAAGATATTCAGCTCACTGGGACGTTAGAAAACCCTCACATGTAAGCATCGTTGTCATTTGGCTTGAAAACTAACTTAACTGAGTATCATTAAAGAAGCTGGTTATTATTATTCTCCTGAATAACTAGCGATTAATTAACAGATCTCAACTTCAGATGCAATACTGTAATGTAATTTAAACTGTTTCCTAATTAATTACTTGGTTTATGTCTCTTTTCATAGGACTTTTTTATTTACGTAGTACTTCTATACTTTTCTTTTACATATTTTATTTAGAATTTCTTACATTAGATTTCTATATTTATCCTTATTGTTGTCTTGTTGTTGTTGTGTACCATCTCATTCATCACGTCACATTCCTTGTGTGTGCAAGCTCACTTGGCAATAAAGCTTTTCTAAATCTGATCTGTTTAACTGTAACAAGTCAATGTTACATTTTTTAAGTAATATCAGGCAATAAAATCAGTTTTTAAAAAAAAGCAATACCAGTAATTTGCATTTACACTTCTGAAGCCCCTTCTAAAGGGTTTAGAGGCAACTGTTGTTCTGATTAATGACAGAATTAACAAATATAAACAGGTTTAAGTGATGTAATGTCACAGTTATATAACTTATATAACTTATACTGTATACTGTATATATAACTTATCTTATTTTATATTTAAATCTCTTCTATTTTTTAGTTTTTGCTCTTTATTTTGTTCTTTATTCTATATTGCACTGAAGGAGCTGCTCTTAATCTCATTGTACATGTGTATAGTGACAATAAAGGCATTCTATTCTATTCCATTCTATTCAGTTTGCCACTAAATTATCAATAACATCTAATTGCAGCCGACAGTCATCACTAAACCCATGTTGAAACAGCCCTGACACCTAAACGTAGCTACATAAGTAACTGTGTCCTGTCACTGGAGAGGAAAACAAACAGTCACGTGTTTATTTACTGTCCTGCTGTTGAGTAAATACTCACAACTTTGTCTCTGCCTCTGTAGGACTCCAGCAGTCGGACCAGAGCCTCCACAGACTGCTGCATGTCTGCGTTCACACTCACACGACGCTGGCAAAGAAAAAATACGCTAAAGTGCGAAGCTTCTGCACAACATCTCCACTGTGAACTGTTTCCACTGCACAAGCTCCCAGCTGGACCTTGAACCCGGAAGTAACCGGGAACAGACTCGACTAGACGATCGTCGAGTCGATCGAACTTCTTCTTCTTTTCCTTCCTACGCAGTGCTGGTGTGCTGCTGCCCTCTTCAGCACGGGTAAAATGGTTTGTATACTAGTACAGTCCAAACCAAGATCTTCTCACCTTCTGTCCATGTTCCACATTAATATCATAGTGAGTGCAGGTTAGCAGGACCAGTGGTTCTTGAACTGTGTGCCTTGAAATTAGTCTTAATCATGGTGGTCTAGACTAGATTAGATTGTATTTTATTCATCACCACAGATGGAGAAACGCACTTGTTGCAGCAGTACAGATGTAGGAAAAGAGTACAAAATAGTAAGAAGTTAACCAAAGAAAAAAATATGTACAAAAAAAAGGACAAATAAGAGTATAACTATAAACAGGAAAAGCAAAAAAAGAGAACAAATAAAAGTATAATCATGTTTACATATGATTATACAATTATATTCATGTGTAAAAATGACTTTTGTGACAGATTTAGCTATCAGCTGAAGTGAGATTGGTATATCTAATAGGTTATTCATGCTTATTTTGATTCTTACGTTTTTTTTTTTTATTAGTTTTTTTTTTTTGAGAATGGCCATTTATTTAGTTCAGGAGGGGAGATGCAGGTGCTGCTGAGGAAAAAAGTTCACCCATAAAGTCCTATAACACAATAAATCAAAATTAAATAGCTAATAATAATCTGGTTGCACTGAGCAGTGTTTCAGACCCACAGCTGACTTCATGGAGGTTATGTAAAATATGTAAATATGATCTGAGTTCCTTCCCCAAAAGTAGGTGTTATTGATGGTGACACCAGTTAATCTCTGTTAATCTCTTCTCAAAACTTCCCTGTATGTGAACGTATTTATGTAGGTTTCCTTCTGGTCTTCCTTTTTTTACAGATGGTTTTATTTTTATTGCTGATTTTAACATAGATTGCGCTTGTCTTCCACTTCCCCCTTTAGTGTAACCAAACACAGCAGGTTTTTCATTGTGGCCTTTATTTGTGTTTATGAATCAGATAATAGGACTATAAACTATATAAAATTATATGAAAGATTTCTGTACTGCACAGTTATGCAATTTGACTCTCGTCAACAGCAAAAAAGCGAATACAAAAAATGTGTGTGTCCTTTCTTTAGGTTCTGCACATTTATTCTGACACAAATTAATAGATGCTACAGTCGTAGCATCAGTTCTCAGCGATAATCTAAGGAGCTTTACATCCTTACTGTGAGAACTGTGTGGGTGATACAGGCCTTTACATTCACAGTGTGCACACTGCAGTACTTGGATGTTTGGCCAGTAGATGTTTCTTGGACATCCATCCATCCATTATCTGTACACCGCTTAATCCTCACTAGAGTCGCAGGGGGCTGGAGTCTATCCCAGCTGACTCAGGGTGAAGGCAGGTTCCCCTGGACAGGTCACCAGTCTATCACAGGGCTACACTTAGAGACAAACAACCAAGCACACTCACATTCACACCTACAGACAATTTAGAATCACCAATTAACCTCAACATGTTTCTGGACTGTGGGAGGAAGCTGGAGAACCCGGAGGGAACCCACGCTGCACGGGGAGAACATGGAGACTCCACACAGAAAGATCCCAGGTGTCCTCACTGGGACGCGAACCGGGGATCCTCTAGCTGTGAGGCAACGGTGCTTCTTTTTGATCAACAAAACAAAAACAAAACTCCTGGGACACAATATTCCGAAAAAAATATTTTATTTTAAATTATCTCTGAGGCTGAGAAATACACAAAGCAACAGTAATAGTGTGTTCATTTTCTAAAAAAGCAGTTTGACAAACAATGCAGGGGTGGCAATGTTATTCTCAGCAAAGGGCAAATCTGTGTGTTTGTGTGTGTGTGTGTGTGTGTGTGTGTGTGTGCTCCTGTATTATTCATGTTGTGGGGACATAAGTCTATATACACGGTCACGCCTGCCAAAGTCCCCACGAATCATTCAATTTTAAGGTCAAGAATTCAGGTTTAGTTTAAGTCTGTGGGTAATCAGTGTAATGTCCTGTGAAGTGGTGAACACTACACACAGTTTGGTATAATAACTAGTTTGAGCTCTTGGAAAGCTTAGTTTGTTTGTTTGAGGGGTGGACAGAAGTTCTGTTCTTTTCCTCTGTGTCGCAAAACAACATCTACACAACTGCTGTGAGTTTTCTTCACTTGAATGCAACTTGTAAAATAAATCACACGTATCCAGAAAGTCTTCACTGGATGTTCAGTTTGGAGCATAGTTATAGTTTTATATAGCTTAACTTTTTAGTTTTTAATAGTTTGATTGTTTTCTGTGCTGCCGTGTGAGTGTGTGCAGGTTAGTTTGATATGTTTTAATAATCAGTGTGTGGAGAGTCGTTATCATAGACATCTGAAAGAAAAAGAAACAGACAACATGTAGTTAAACATGGACAAACACAAGGGTGGATATTTAAGATGAAATGACTGTAGTGCATTTTACAGAACAGGAAAAATGAAACTTGCCACTTCTGTAGTCGACATCATCGTAAATATCTCCTTCCCTGGAAAAGAAGATTAATATACATCATATTCAAATGAAAATAAATAAACTTTTTTTGTATTTACTGACATCAGCAGAAAACATTTGGACTCAGGACAAAGTTTAACCAAACATGTAATAACCTATATTTATGTATTATTATACAGTCAGCTATATGTGTCCACATTCATGTATATTTCTATTTATTTTTTAATTCTATATCTGTTTATGATAAAGACAGATTCTTACAATAACATGATGGCATGTATTTACACCAGAGCTGCTCATTATTCATCCACAGATCAAATTAACGCCACGTTGAAGATGAATGAGTCACACGAACTGAAGAAAGTTCACTTACATTGGAAGAAGAAGCGACCTGAACACATAACCATCTGTGAGGCACAAGGCAGAACAGATAATTACTTTGAGTGAACATCACGCGGCTGTTACTCATCATCATCTGTATTTTATGCACTGTTGAGTATTGTTGAGTGACAAACACAGTCATTAGACAAAAATGTGGACAAAAAATACCCAAGTTTTTGAAGCTTTCCTGGAGTTTCAAGTCAGAGAGAATGTTTGTATTTGTAATCTGTGAGCTAAAATGTTTGTCTGAATGCAGAAAACTTTCTTTTTTAAATGTTTTAAAGAAAAATGCATTAGTTTGGACGTAGCTTAAATTAACATACAATCACAGAGCGATGCCAAGTGTATACGTACATTTTCCATACTGGTTGCGACACAGAGCTTTCTTGCTGTTGGTGAGCTGGATGACATCTAAGACTTCTCCACGAATCACTTGCAGGTCTTTCGCTCCTGGTTTCTTTATAACGCTGTTAGGATCCACCATCATGGTGTGCAGCACCTTCAGCGGCCCTTCAAGCTGGGAAACAACAGTCACTACGTAAGCTTTCGTTGTAACTGTAGCAATTTTACGTACTTTTAAATGAGTTGTGTCAGAAAAGTTCCAGGAATGGTGTCACAAAAGAAGTATTTCAAACCCAAACTACAAACGACACCCCTTCAGACGATCAACCAGCACGTCTACAAAGAGATCCTGCTGCGTTTGCTTCATTCAGAAGAGGCCAGAGTTGTGGCAGGATGAGTCGTGGCTGCTTCACCATGACAACGCGCCTGCTCACAACGCCCTGAGCATCCCACAGCTCCTGGCTGAGAAGAACATCTCCGTGCTGGAGCAACCTCCCTACTCACCCCACCTGGCTCTGTGGGATTGTTTCCTCTTCCCCAAGCTCAAGGGGGTCATCAAGGGGACCCTATTAGAAGACGTGGACGACATCAAGATGGCTGTGACAACGGAGCTGCGGAGGTTCTTGGAAGAATCCTTCCAGGAGTGCATGGCGGCGTGAAGAGAAAGCTGGGGAAGTGTGTTAGACTCCAGGGGGATTACTTGGAAGAGGAAAGCTTGTAGTTTGTAGTTTGGATTTGAAATATTTGTGACACCAGTCGTGGAACTTTTCTGAAACACCTCATTTGCAACTTGTGCAGGGATCAATCCATGACACTGTTTTTTTCTCCTTATGTCCCCCATTGGACAAATAATTCAGATGCATATACTATAATTAACAAACGCTATAACCATCTGACTTCATTGCTATGCAGATGACACACTGCTTTATCTACCAGCAAACTAAGTAATCTGATGTGAAAGAGCACAAACTGTTTACCTTAAATTTTTTTCTCAGCTCCTTCTCCACTTTGGGATCGATGCTGGGGAAAAAAAACAACATTTTAGGAGTTAATCAAGTTGCATACAAATGCTTTTATTAACACACTTTCCCACATAGATGATTAAAATAAACGAGAGAAAGGATTTTACTCAATAGACTTGAACATCTTCTGGCCTCATCATGTATCAGATCTACATACGTAAAGCTTTACATTACAGTGTTGCTGCAGCCACATGTAGCTGCCAGTATGCCGCCTCTTTCCTTTCAGTGAATCACATGTGTATAGATACCTGACTTCAGGTGGTGGTGGCGGGAAATCTTCACTTATTGGTTCAACATCATCGTAGTCATCTGAGAACAAAATAAGAAATTCAGTTGTTTACTTACATCAAAGAAATATTTATTATATTTATCTGCTGAAACAGTTGCTTAAACATTGATTATTAATCCTTGTGAGAAAATATTTACGAAATAAGCTACGAACATGAGATACATCAGCCAGCCAAACAGCCTATTACCTGCAGGTATTCAGGGAACTTCATTATGAACAATGACAATTTAGGAGTGTATTGATTTATTTTTCTGCAACAGCTCACCAGTGATTGGTGGCATATGTTCACAAACAATCGCTGTGAATCCCAGTTAACTATTTAATGCTGTTAAGTACAGGGCTTCTGCATGTAGGTTACATTCAAGTAAGAGTTTTAAATTCTGCTGTTCGTGGCAACGCTTCTTTGCTGGTGTACTGGTAGCAATGCTTTGAACTCAACCAGCAGTGATCAGTTTGCAAATAATGAGGAAAGGAGACGCCATAGTGACAAAGTGTGGTGAAGCGTCTGGTTGGAAGAGCGCAAGAAAAGCTCGAGAAAAGGTTGTGATGCTCCAGATCAAAAAGAGCGTCTGCATTCAGAGGACAGACTAAAGTCTAAAAATGAAAGCAGTCGATGTCTCGACATGTCAGAATTGTGTCAGTCATGTTTGTGTAATTAGTCTCAGTGCCAGAAGGTGGAGACAAAAGTTCTGCCCAGCAGGTTTAATGACTGTGTTGTTTCTGCGCTTTGAGATGTTTCCTGATGTTTATCCTCATCTGCTGATAATGTGTGTTGTGATATCACGTACCATCATCTTCAAGCATGCTGCGGATCAGAGGCAACACAAACAACACGTTAGCTGCAATAAGGGACACTGAAACAGCAACTAAATCAAACAGACACATCACTGATACATCTGACAAAAGTTGTCGGGAAGGTGTATTAAAAACACACAATCAGCAGTCCTGTACCTGTCTCTGTTGTTGGACTCCACATTTAACATCATTGGGGGGTCCGGAGGTGGAGGAGGTAACATCGAAGTTTCAGTTTTTCTGGACTGGAACACTTTGCGTTTCACTGCCTCATAGTCAATATCCACACATGTGTTGCTGATGTATCCGTCTGCAAGGAAACACAGAGCCAAGATAACATTTCAACATGTTATTTTATCTACAGAATGCCGATCACTATCATCAGAGCAGATCTCTCCATCACACCATACAGACGTTAAGTAGTCACAGCACAGAGTCTTAGTGAAGATGTGCAGGTCTTTTCCTGATAATGTTGGGTTGTGATTCACCAGAACAAGGTATAGTTGTTATGGCGAGGTTCTGCATGCCTTTTAATGCATTGTTGCGGAAGATGAGTCTCAAGATAAGCCATAAAGAAAGAACACTTCAACAAAAGTTCTGAAGAAACACAGATTAACCACAAGTGCAGACAGTGATTGTGTTTACATGCACGCCGGTGTTTCAGTTATGAGATTTTTACGCGGGTGTTGATTCTACTCAGGAAATTCAGAAGCAAAGAGAAATGTGGTTATTCATTCCCCTGTATGCATGATAAATAGTAGCCTGGTCCCTGATTATTGTGGGTCCTTTGTGCAGACTTCTGACAATTTCATTTGGCATTCGTGTAACTGTCACACTAAGCTTAAATCATTTGACTGTGGTTATTAAAAATGAGGCCACATCTGTCTTACAGCAGGCTTAGTACAACTAAAAGGCAACTTTGAGTCACAGATTTGGCTTATTTACTTGAAATGTTGTCCTCATGCTGTCACTGCTACTGCATAGGACAAGGCAGCACTAGATAAAAATAAATACACAGCCATGACAGGTAGTACACGTCATGATGGAGTTCAAGGAAAGTTTCAGTCTGAGTAGAGCATCATTTTACCGCCTGTTTACTAAAGTTCATGAGACCAAAAGAAACGAACAAGAGTACGAGCACCAGTTCCATTAACAGTGGCAGTGGCCATGGTGTTGACCTAACTGGCCATTTGTGGTGAACACGGTTTGGTTTGTTTCCTGTTTCACCACCTACAAACCAGGATAAAGTGTATACACACCACAAAATCCCTGCTTCTTTTGGACTAATCCATCTAGCGTAACTGGGTTTCACAAGGAAAAGGGCTCGTCCAGGTGAAGGTGCACAAACACAAAAACGGGATACTTCAAAAACACGATCATAACTGAACTCAAGTCCAGATGAAACAGTCATCGATATGTTTGTTCCCTCTTTGAAGGAGGCTGTTTACCGATAAAGCAGCCTTGTAGGATGTTTGTGGAATAGATGTAGTCGAGCCACAGAGTTTGGGCAGGGAGGATGTTGGGGTGAACGAATGGGTCAACAAAACAGTGAACCTTGAAACAGGAGACCACTGTTTATTTCCAGTTTTAAAACACAAGTCCTTTCATAACTTTAACCGTCCTCTATTTTAACCCAAACTTTTATCTTTCCCCAGATCTAACCAAACCTGTACAATAAGCGGTTACATTTAAAAAAACAAAAACAAAAAACGGTCGCTCCTATGGGTTGAATCAGGGACAAACAACCTAAATAACATGCTGGACATGTTCTTAATCAAGATGGAGGAAAAGCCACCAACATGACCTGGTCTTACAAGCACAGTTCAGCATCATCTGCGTAAAATAAACCATATTTTATCTGCATAGTAAAGCATAGTAGGAGCTGAGGTAGGACCACAGTGCTTTCAAGAGGGAAGGAGCAAACCAAAATGTCCCTGAACATTTAAAATCAAATTGATCCCGCCACGTACAAGAGCACACAAAAGACAAAAGATCAACCACAGCAATGTTAACAGTGTTAAGGCTCTGGATGTGCCAAACATTCTACCGAAGCTGACAGTGAGAACTTTACTATTTGAGTTTTGCTTTTTTAAGTTCTGGTATTTCCACTTGAGTTTTCAAAATGCAAATTGAGAAAAAATATCAAAATAGGTGGACAGAAATGCCTTGTATAGTGACAGCATGGAAATAATGACATCTCTGTTTGCGTGTTCATCACAACAACAACAACCAGTCTTTATAACAACACACATCCCTGCTTTTTCCAACAGGCAGATGTTGTTAGCTTAGTTTGCTGTAAGGTGAGAACAGAGAGGTTCAGACTGGAAGGTTTATTGTACCCGACTGATTAAAAGTTAAATTGAAACTCACAGTTTCCATTCAGAGAGCGGGCCAGCCATTTGCCTCCTGGGTTATTCTTCACACGGAGGATCTCCACGTTGTCTCCCTGTCGAACACTGAGGTCCAGTTTTGATGTTCCACGCCAGTCCTGTCGGACTCTGGCTGTGTGAAGAACCTCGATCTCGCCTTGCAACTACAGAGAGGCAGAAACAAAGCTGTCAAAGGCAGCAACTTACACAAGCTTGTGAAATATGGCCGAGGATGTACGAGATTGTGAAGAACCCCAGTGACTGACGTTTTCTGATCCTGCGCTGCCGTCTCGGTGGATGTTTTTGTTTCTTTACCTGAAAGTTCTTCTTCAGCTCATTCTGTTTTTTCTGACGCTCCATCTGCTCTTTCTTCTCCAGCTCCTTTTGCTTCTTTGCTTCCTTCTTGTTCATCTTCTCAGCGGTAGCTTTGTTCATCTCTATCTGGTCCCTAAGAAGAAACGATCAAAAATGTAAAACGACTGAAGTAAACTCCCCACTATTGCTTTCTACTTTGGTTTTACTACTTTTACTTGCTCAAAAATATGTATTTTTACTGTAATATAAAAGTCCTGATTATGTATGTAAATATTTATGTAATATAGTATAAAAATTTAACGTAAGCTTCACTGCCTTTCCGTCTTTTTCCAGTCTGCACATGTCTACAGCCCCTCCCTGAATTTCCTGCTTTGACAGAAAACACACTCACTGTTCTTAGCAACTGATAAATACAGAAATTGTTCATCCTTTGGAGCTTTATTTGACTCCTTAAATCTTAAATGCAACACCATATAAACTGAGACAACTAATTGACCTTTTAGTTTTTAGCATGAACTCTGCAGCAGCAGGTACAAAAATAGGTGCAGCAGCAAGAGAAACAATAGAAACAGTGTTCTGCCTTGTGCTCATGCAGCTGCAGCCACAGACTTCTGTTGATCATTTGAGAGCTTACTAAATACAGACACAATGGTTTAATGGTAAAGACAGAAAGTCTACACTTACTCATCAATAAACTCGTACACATCATCTGCATCCTGCAAGAGAAAAGGCAAAGAAAAACATATGTACATGTACCGGATTTATTTAGATTTAAGCGAGATACCAGTGAGTTTAAGAATTTATGTGTGATTCTTTAATTTTCAAAATAAATCAATGTATACATTCCCAAACCCAAGAAACAAATAAAACAAACAGCTAGCAAGTGCAGTTTAATTTCTGTCAATTTCTGTTGTTGGAAATGTTAAGTTGATATTTCAGCAACATAGTGTGAATTAGAGTTTAAACTGAAAAGTGCAGCGTGTTGTTTTCAGGGAAGCCACCTGGTCTTTAGTTGTTAAAATGGGTGGCAATTCTCACTTCACAGTAAGTCACACTTCACAGTTTCTGTTTTCTGCACTCACCCCATTCAAACTCTGCGAGCCGTTGTCACTGTCATCTGTCAATTACACAAAACACAGCCGTAATTTGAAAACGCATCCTCCCACAAAACACATAATGATCAAGATAAAGACGAGAAATTCTGACATTTTTTTTCTTACATAGTTACTTAAAATAAACGTGTAACAGGAACAGGAACAGAACAGGCTGTAATCTTTTTTTTAATACCATTTTTATCAAAGCTTGCGATGTCGTCATACGGGTCCTGTTCATCCTCAAGGTCCCTGCAATCAGTAAGCAAATATGTTTCCCTGGTCAGCATTCAGCAGCAATGTGTGTGTTTAGTAAAATGACTCATTACGTCTCTATTAACAATCCAAAGTGCTAAAAATCTGCTGACAAATAGTAATGTGTTTCTTCCAAAACAACATTTGAATTAATCGTACAAGTCAGCAATCATACCAAAAATGACACTAAACAAAGCAACGAGGAAATAGACAGTAAAAGTGTTAATGCTTCACTTTTCCTTCATTAGATAACAGAGGCTGAGGCGTCAGACATCATGGTTACGTGACGCAGATCTACAAGCATCAAAAAACGTCCCCACACATTTCTAATATTAAATCTACTCTGAGTTAGAGTCTCTGAGTGTCTCATGATTGAATTTCACACCATTTCCTGTCTGCCATCATGACTGCAGTAAAGAAAGAGTCTTAAGAAGCTGCTTGTGTACTTAAAGATGTCACAGTTTTCTTTAACACCAGCATGTTGTTAACGGGTAAATACCCACATAGAGGCGATCTGGTGCGGCAGTCTGTTGGGTTTGATGGATCGTTGAGGAGGTAAAGGAGGATTATTCATCGCTGGTACAGACATTCTTCTCTCCGATGGGCCTGGTGAACCTGCAGGGAGAATCAGAGATGGGTGGCGTAACCAGTAAACAACAGTGACACGTACTTATTCGAACAGACTGTCGACGAAAAAGCAAAAGTTCTGGAGAGATTTTCTTCTTCTCTTCAATTTGTATAATTTTACTGCCGTTAATTTACACGTTTTCAAACAAAACTAAAACCCGCTGGAACTTGTCAGTGTTAGAACTAGTTGTACAGCACAAGTGCAAACAATTGTTCAAAGATTTGCTGAAACAAATCCATCTTAACGCTTTCGCTCCTTTTTGTGTCTGACTTGCTGTCAGCGATATTCAGATTTAAAATCCATTAATTAATGGAGATAACTTTCCATCAACAGTTTTAGTTCTGAGCTAAAAAAAAAATGTTGTGATTGCAAATCAGTTAATTCAATAGTACATTAAAGATAATACTTTACAAAGAAACAATGGGAATATGCATCGTGTAATTGCCCTTTTTCATAGTAGACAGTCTCACTTGTCATAGTCTGAAACTCAAAAGTGTTCCTTCTGTCATTAACAAGCCGTGATGTTGTGACAGAGAGGCAGCTCGAACAACCTTCAAATCAAAGTAACCTTCAAATCAAGCAGTTAAAAGAATCTCAGTCATGATTAATGCGATTATTTACACTTTGTTTTCTGACTGTGACATATTAAAATATTGTCAGGACAAGAAAAAACGAGGTTTGTCTCTGTGCCATCCGGGCTTATCTTCAGTAAAGGACTTACCGTTACTTTTCCTCGGGGCAGGGAGGGCCGGTCCTCGCCTCGACATCCGAAAGGGCTCCAGGTTGACACTGGGAGGCCGTCTGGGTTTCAAAGGCAGGGGTCCTTCAGGCGGCAGGGGCCTCCTCAGAGGGGTCACGTCCCCTCCGCTCTTTTGTCGGGGCGGCTGTCGGAGTGGAAGAGGGGTGGAGGGGGAAGCCGTTGCAGAGGCCAGAGCTGGACCTGCAGCTGGAAGCGGTTTGATGCCTACGGGCTTTTGGTGCCTCAACATCATGTTCTGTAGCAACTCCCCTCTGTGCTTGACCTGACTGATGTCCGCAGGGTGAACGGGCGCTCCGACCCCCGAACTGGGAGGTGGTCGAGGGAAGGAAGCAGGCCTGGAGGGGACGGGCGCTGCCAATAGTTCTGCCCTCGGGGGCCTCACCGGGCCTGGGCCAGCCACAGGAGGAAAAACTGTGGGTGACACTCTTTGGACCAGCTCCTTCTCGAGTCCCGGCAGTATCGCTCTTCCAAACCCTGGTCGTGGAGACTTTGGCGAGCCACTGTCTCGGCTGCTGTTGGTGTCCGAGGTGCTGGTCTTGTTGTTGAACCTGGCCCTCAGAGCCTTTACGTCAACGCTCTCCTCCTGAAAACAACGCAGGAGCACAAGCTTATCTGCAGCTGCTCTGTTTCTGAAGCAGGATGTTAGCAGATCAGCACACAGCAATGCATGACCCCCACGCTCACAACACTCACCGCTTGTCAAACCCCTACGCTATCTTTACAAAGTGAGAATGCGCCGTGCAACAACACAGCTTCCTGGTTGTTTTGATCTTCACAGAGCTGATAAGTCTTTTGACTGCACAGAAACCGACTCAGTGCATTCAAAACAGCACGGAAAACAAAAGCAGCAAATAGTAATTTTATATGTAAATATATCTATAGATGTTAATCATTAAAAAACACTAATTAGGTTACCATAGATGATACATTAAGAAATCTTTTTTCATTGTGAAACGAGGTAATTCATTTTTTATTATTTAACCAAGGCATTTCATGAAAGCAAAAGTAGGGATAAACCAATCCAGCTTTTTCTCTCCCAAAACAAGTTAAATTGGGGCATCTTCTGATGCCAGATCTGACACCAGTGCTCAGTTTAAGCCCGTATTTAAAATCTGCTTGATTCTCTGCAATCGTCAATTTACTATAAGCCTACACGACACTAAAAAAAAAGAAATCGAACGAGTCACATCACGACCCAACTCACCTAATAATGCCGGCATCAAAAGTGATTCCCATCGGACATTTTGCTAATGGCATCCCTACACTAAGACTTGATTGCTGCTTACGGAGTCAGGATGGAAATCATGGAGGAAATCACAGATCACTGTGCTGATTCAAATCGTTTCATTCAGTTCAATTTAGTACAGTTAAAATATTTGGAACTATTGACGATGTAGTTTTCTCAGCTTGAGATCACATCGCTGTTCAATGCTGTTACTTTCAGCTCAGGACAAAACTCACCTGTTTCAGCCTCTTTTTTGTGAGCTTAATAGTTAAACAGGTAACTATTTGTAGTCTGAAAACATCCTGTGTATCAAATATTTCTCTTGACCTTGGAAAGACATGTGACACAGCAAATGTAAAACTTACCAGTGGACAAAGACGTACTGCTAAAAAATAAATTACTTTCCTCTAATTTTTCACCTGATTTCCTTAAATGAATGGAATTATGCTGAAAAGGAAGATGGGAAGAGTCATAATCATAAATCCATTGTTCCACTGTGTGTCCCACAAGGACCTATACTCAGACCACTATTATTTAGTTTTTATGTTAATAATCTACTCACTGTTTGTGCTGATGTAAAAATCCAGCTATATGCTGATGATACAGTGATTTATGCACATGGCTGTGCAAAGCCGCGGAACGCTTCCAAACTTGAAATGAACCATATTGCAACGCGGCTGAATTACTCATGTTTTAAACTCGATGTAGCTGAAATTAATGATTGACTGACAATGATATCCAGGCAAAAGTTTCAAGTTGTGACTGAGTTTAAGTTTCAGGGCATCTGGATTGATTCTAACTTGTCATTTAGAAGTCAAGTAAAGAACTATGCCAGTCAGGTAAATTCAGTATTTTAACTTTGGTTAGAAAGCCACTAGGCTTTGAAATAGCTGTAATGTACATAAATACTGTGGTCATGACATTTCACAGGCTAACAAGCCTACAGTGATGTCACTCGGATTTTATGTAAATGAGCTCTTAAAGTCCCTCCCTGGTTAAAAATAGATCTCTGTGTATTAAACATTAGCAGATTATTTCATGAAAATAATGTCTTCCAGCCTTTCATTGGTCTAATAAAGCTCCTGTGTTACATGTGAGACTCCGTGTTTATAGGACAGTCAATGGTGCGGTGTCGTTTTAGAGTGGAAATGGTCCAGGATGATGTAAAAACCATTATATTGACATGAAAAGGTAAAGAACAAACAAACAAACAAACCAAAAACCTGATTTCCATCGGATGAGGCCTTTAAGTTCTAGATCAGATCAAATTTGAAATAAACACAGACTTACAAGCTCATGTTCCCCGTCCACTGAAGACATTTATCACTAGTCTATTCTCTCACTAATCATGGTTATGTTGCAACAGCGACTGCTTGTAAATATACTTGAAAAGCAGACAGTTCATGTAACGTCATCTACCAATCTGTGACACTGACGTAATCTAATGTAATTTATGGCTTGAAGCTAACGTGGCGTTTCCTGACTTTGATAACTCGGTGGATGTTTTTCTTGGGTTTAAGGTTTGAAAGAGGAGTCACAATGACAGATGTGTTCCTTTACATGTATGTAATTTAGGATCATGATGGCAACAACATGCAAAGCAGAGTCCATAACAACAGTCACGTGACCTGCAGGTAAGAATCCTCAGGAAGAGAGTTTTGTATGTACAACAGGAGTGAGTACACCTTCAGGAAATACCACTTTATTTTATGGACAGCAAAGATTTTAGAGAGACTGTATTGGAAACACAGGCCCCAACTTAGAAATTGAAAGAGGGGAAACAGAAGTTACACACCTGTGATTTTCAGTTAACCTAATTGCATGAACATGGTTACAACATGACCGGTGAGCACCAGAACTTTCTCAGCTTTGGAAATATGGCCGGTGTTTATCTGCACGTCTGCATCACGATGGTCTTAACAAATATTAAAAAGGACACAAGAAGGTCTAAACCAACTAACAATCAGTCAAATTGCAGCAGTGATGTGGAGCTGCAGAACAAGCCACAGCACCACTAACCAGAGCAGCAGTGGCTGTTCTCCTAAAATGACACCACAG